ATCCAAGCTAAACTATACAAAATTTATAGATATTCAAAATTTTCCATTAATAAATAGAATTCTTAGTGTTATATAACTCATATAACTTATAACAACTAGGTGAGTAAACATTACCTTATCAAAAAAAGGTAGGCTTAGTTGAAACAAGTGGGGAAATTACCATATAAACAATTTGCGTAACTTAAACCGGTATGAGGATAAAAATAAAATGAATAATAATAGTATGATAATCAAAATAGGCTCATGTCTGCATCTCATAATGTAAATCCAACCAAAAGGCGCCTGACTTTAGAGTAAATGCCGGCAAACAAAATGCACGCAAATAAACTCTTATAGAACATTTAGGATGGACTGACTGTTGGTACACCTCAACATCATCAAAACCAAAACCTATGAGAGATCACTTTGGATTTTTTTTGTCATCATGTAGCTCTAGGGTTCTATATTGAAATAATTATGTGCATTGAAATGAGCATGCGCATATTTTCATGATCATGCATGATTTTTTATGAAGAAAATGAGAACGAGAAGAAGAAAAATTAGGGGGAGGAGGAAAAATGAGGAAGTATGGTTCTCCTCTAAGGCTTTCTTCTTTTTTTTTTTCTCTCCAAAAGCTCTCCATAGCATAGTTCCTCAATGTCTGTAATGAGCTCACTCATTATGCAAGAAAGATAATGGTCTTTCCTCCAAAGAAACTTCAAGTGCAAGAAGAAGATGAAGAAAATGTGAACGAAAAAAATAAAGAAAGATGAAGGAGAAGAAGAAAATAAATGAGGAAGGAATATAATTCTCTTCTAGGGTTTTCTCCTTTTCTTTTCGCACCAAGAGATTTCCAAAGCTTATCTCCTCAATGTCTATATTGAGTTCACTCACTTCAGCCCCCAAAAGTTTCAAATGTGCTGAAAACTCAAGTGAAAAGAAACCAAAATCTTTCCTTTATGCTAAGCTTACTTCATCCCACGTTTCCATGTCGATGATCATAGAAAATTATTTTTAATTTGCGGATGACCATAGAAAATTATTTTTAATTTATATGGCATGGATACAATTGACCATTTTCTGAGGTAAGGGGAGCTTTCTAAGGTACCATCCGCCATCTTTTTTTAATTAATACGAATTGATTTGGTAAAAAATGTTCACATAAATTCAAACCTGGCCGCTTCCAGACCTGGCCGCTTCCATGCGCCAAACCCTAATTTTGAAAAAAACATGAGTGTGAAAGGGTTTTATGGATCTCTTAGCCTATAAGAGGGAATGTATTAATGAATTATAGTCTACAAACATAACAATGTATATCAATCATGTATGACATCAAAAATTGAAGCAAACACCATCCATGCTCCACAACTAGATCAAAATTTCCTAGATAGAGCAAATTCACATTATCATATGCAAACCAGCAATTTCCTGAAGTAGAATAACATCATAAGTATAACAAAGAATGCATAAAAACACAATTAAGTAAAACAAAGAATGCATAAAATCACAATGGCTGTTAAAAGAAAATTGATAATCAGTTAAAGAAAAAAGCTACAGATTTCCATTTCCCAATCCCACCAAAAAAATAATAATAATAAAAGATACGCACTCGATTCTGATCGATGACATCGACAATAACAACAAGTCTCCCATACTCCTTCCCATAGTTGACGAGCGCTACCCTCCCGATCTCCACGTACCTCTGGAAAGGCTACGATTACAAACACAATAACCCACGAATCAGAGAAAAGTAATTCCCCTAAAAACAATAACGAAGTCGCTAACATTGAAGAACGCCAGCCGGCACTCACCATGACGATCTGCTGAAAGACGAACGTCGCACTTCTGCCGCGATCTGCTGGAAGCTCCAGTAGGGTTACTAACGTCGTCGCCGAAGGTCTTATAGTTCGCTTACAGACGTCGCCGCTGAGGTTTTATTCCTGTCCGTCGGATCGAGGAACCGCATTACATACATACCACTAAATTTCTATGTATTCGCATTTTTAGAACTCATAATTTAATTTTTATAAACATGCCACTTTTATAATCTGATGCATAATACTAATTATGAGATCATAAAATCCTTAATTAATAATTAGTAGCTTTTAATAAACACCATTAGGGACTTCATGAGCAGATAAGTTGCTAGAGGGCACAACTGAATTTATTTTATTATTTTGTATGTGCCCGATCTCATATATCTAGAACATATATGTTGCTATTGAGACCATAGTGTTGTTGAAGCATTTGAGCTATACATATTTTAGGTCTTTGTACCATTGGGTTGTTTCTTATATAACAACAACAACAAAGCCTTAATCCCATTGCTTGGTAGGGTCGGCAACATAATCTTTTTTCTCCATTGCGTCATGTTTAGAGTCATATTTTCATTTAGTTCTAATAAATTGAGATCATTCTTTATACAATAAGCCCATGTCTTTCTAGTTCAACCTTTGGCTTTCTTAACATAATCGAATCTAAAACATCTACTCTCTTAATCGGGATCATCAGACGGTTGACGTTTAATGATGTGTTATGTCATGCAATGTTAGTTGTATGTACATAGGCATAGAGTTATTTTGGTCACTTCATTCATATATCATTCTGGCTCAATTACCCTTATTTTAAACTTCAAGATTATTACTGATTATTATCACCATCCTAGCGGACAATCAAATCATTTCTTAACTAATTTTTTATTTGTTACTATCTTCTTGGTTGATCTAACTCCTTCTCCCTTCTCTCTCGCATTTTCTTGAATTTAATTTAATTATAAGTCATTATGAAGCTATTGTATTAACTTAGAACTTGTATTAAGATCTTCATGATTTTCCTACAAATAAAATGAAATCTCCAAAATTTTCCCTTCCCCATCATACCATGATCATCATTGATTATCATCATCATCTATGTTGACAATCACAACATCATTTATGCTTATCACCGAACTTTTAACTTGCATGTCATCATCATATTGGCTTGGCTAACTCCGCCTCTCTTTCTCCTTTTCGTCAATTTAATATAAAGTTATTATAAAGCTTTGGTATTAACTTAAGCACTTGTATTGTAATACTTTTTCATTTTTTTGAAAATCAACATAATATCTTCAAATTATCCCCTTCCTAGTTATGCCATGAAAACATGTTCTCTCTCTCTCTCTCTCAAATTCACTTTATATTATCTCTTGTTCTAGTCAATATATATTCTTTGCTATTTCAAGTAATATTAATGATTGAATGAAAATCTTATTTTAATTACATTGCTATCTGTTGGGAATAGTGGAGATCTGGTCCACTTAAATATTTAGAAAGTAATTAATATTTACTTAATTTGTTTCCCCAATATTCTCCTGTCAAAGCCCTCTCCCTCATGCGGTCCCGCCAAAGCTCTCTCCCTCACACGATTTTCTCATTGGGAATTACCTTTTTAAGCGATTTTGTGCCTCTTATAAATAGCAAGGCAAAAGGTCTGCCAAATACTCTCCAACCAAATTCCAATCTCTTGGTTGTAGCTTGCAAGGGAAAAAAAGAAAAAGGCTGTCGTTGTTTTTCTTTGGGTTTGCTAACAGGGAAGAAATTCCCTTAATTTTCTCTCACGTGGCTTGAGAGAGAGAGAGAGGAGAAGAGAGAAGAGAGAACAGAGAGAGAAAGAGAGAGAGAGAGAGGAGAAGAGAGAAAGAAAGAAAAAAATAGTTTTTTTTTTTTTTGTAAACGTCGAGGCGCTTGACGGTGAAATTTCTTCAACTAATAAAATCCTCTGCAGCTCCATGGATGTATGTAATTTGCCGAACCACGTAAATCTTGTGTCACCTTTTCTGGTGTAATTTTTCTAGATCTGTTTTTTGTTTTATTGCCGTCGTTTTTCATAACAGCTATCCACCCCAAGTGAGATATTTTTGAGCATATGGGTTCATAAAACCTTTAGAGAACTTTCAAAAAGGGAAAATGATCATTACAATAAAAGACTATTTATAGAGCTGCTCAACTTTAGTTATCTCTTACACTACTACTGTTGTATTGATAACTACATAATGCTAGTTTTATGAAAAATATTAAATCTATCGCTTATAGATAATGTATATTATAAAGATTGATATTAGATAACATAATATGACAATTTCTAATCATATGATCTTTTCTATACTTGAAATATTCATACTTTATATAATTCTCCCTTATTTATAGAAAGGATTATGAAGAATTTGAAGTGCACGTTGAATTGTAATCCCAGGTCATCTGAATTTTTCTTTCTCCCACTTGTTAATAGTGAAATAACCTGTATTCATGAAACATAATTGCACTAAACCACATGAATCACGCTATGTTGGATTGTCTGTTATTTTGTGTGAATTTATTTTTGTGCGGATTAGAAGTTTGTCTTGAAACTGAGGATCATCAAACAATTTATCTTGAAAGAGAGGATCATTAAAACCTTTTCATTTTATTAGGGGTAATATTCCAACCTCCAATTACCTTCTCATGTCTTAAAATCTCTCTATCACAATCTAAGGCCCACTAAGCCATGAAGAGATGTAGGCCCAAATAGGTTTTGCTTCTGGGCATGCTATCAATTCATACCTCCGAGCCCACTAGCTGGTCCTCGGTCCACAGTTTGATATTTACATTTATAATTGTCATAAAATTTATGTATCTATCAAACTTTGGGTGTTAGATATGTAAATACATAAGAATTGTGTGGTATTAATGTAAATTTCCGTAAAACAAAAAAGAAATGATGTATCCTATATTACTATATTTAAGGAGGTGGAATCAAATAATAAATATGCAATATGCAAGAAATAAATCACACAAATTGATACATTAATGATAAGAAATGTTATAATGATTGCTTGCATGCATAGCGAAGAATATCACAAGTTATTAAGGGTAGAAACATTTATATACGTGCGTATGCAAAAAA